AAAAAATAATTTTTAAAATTTTTTTTCATAAAATAATAAGACGCCAACTAGCGGATTTAATATTATTAAAATTTGAAATGTAATTATAATTATTCTTAGGGCTATGCCGATCCACATAATTATAGCTATTTTGAAATTTTAACTTTCGATTAGCACATAAAGTTTGGGGATATTGAAAATTAAGGGGTGGATATAAATCTATTATTAAATAAAATATTTATCATAGGTATCTTTAATATATATCTTTTTAAGAAGTATATGTCTTTCTTCTAGGCTAATATTATCTTTATCTAAAAAATTGGCTATATCATATGGATGATCATTGTACTCTAGTTATTAAATTAAAATTTTTTTTAAAAAAATTATTGTTGGACATTTTTGTTATCTGATTTTTTTACTAAATTAAATACCTAAAATTCTTATTTTACTATCCCATCCTTACTATTACAAGTTTCTTCAAAATAATCTTATGATGAATCTTAAAAAATTCAGTTATTTTATTATTACATAATTAAATTAACATTTCATTTTCAAAGTAGGTGTTTAAAAAAACCTCCAAAAGTACATAAAAATGTAAAATTATTTATTAAATAATACCAGCTAAGTTATTATAAAACTGCCCAAATGTATTTTTAGAATAACTGACCTTTAGATGGCTCTATATGCTGACTATCTATTATTTTTTCAACAATTCTTTCATTATTAGCTATTATGTGGGGGGGGGGGGGTTAATTGCTAAAAATATTTTTAAATTAAAATATTATTATACTATACTTTTTTGCTTTTTGGCATGATTTTCACCTTCAGCGTTTTTAAAAAAAGTCAAATATCCATGACTAGAAATTTGAAAATTATAATACCGGGAAATTAAAATAATAGATAAATATTACGCCACAAGGAAAACTTGAAAATGAAATTAATTGATAAAGTAAATTAGTAAATGAAAAAGGTAATAATATAAAAATTTAAAAAGAAATAGAAATGAATAAATATAATAAAATATAAAAAATAATATTTTTGAAAAATATGTCCGGCATCTGCATTTTGGCTTTGGGGGGAAGGAAGAGATTGAAACCTGCCCCCCCCCGCTGCGTACGCCAATGATAATAGGCCATCATGCGGATTTAATTATATTGAAATTTAAAATGCAATTTTCTTAGACCCCAACTTAAACCTCAACATATTATAATTATCAAAGTAAAATATTTTTAATGAATTTTATTTGTTTTCAATATTTAAAAAATTCTCTCGAATGTGTTTATCCCTTTATTACATACTTATAAAATAATAAAAAATTAAAATATAAAGGGTTAAATACTTTTACCCTTCCCTAATATTAATTGCCGAAAAATGCGCTTTTCAAGTCTTAGAAAATAATTGATAAAATTTTCTCCGAATTTTTTTTTGGAATTCTCATCATTGACTGACGGATATATTTTTTTCTAGAAGTTTCAAGATTAGAGGTAGGCTCGGGCCGTGAAAGCGTGAGTGTGAATAAATTTTAAATTCCATGGCGTGACGGACCTTCCCAAAATTTTTCCCGGGCGTGCGGGCGTGAACATAAATTTCCCGTGAATCACGGAAATTTTAATTTTTAAAATTGTTTTTTATAAATATAAATTTGCAATTTTATAATTATAATATATATATTTTTTTATTTAATTCAGTTCTTTTTTAAAAAAGAATAATTTATGAAAACTAAAAATCTTCCGCATTTTATAAACAACATCCGGTATCATTTTGTTAGTTCTATTTTCTTTTTATGTTTAAGTGTTTTTATCGCGAGACTTTTTGCTAAATTTTGCTTTAACTTTATACTAAAAAGTCAGTTATATTTTATTTGTAAAGATCTTCAATCTTTAAATGTAACAGAAAGTGAAGGATTTTACAAGCAGGCCAAGAGATAAATGTTGGGTTACATATGGATAACAAAATATAAAAGTTGTGAATCGGAAAACTCTCATGAATACTATAGGTCCAAAAATATATCATTATATAAAATTTAAGATTAAAAGCCTGATCAATAATAATTACTTGTCGATAAACACTGATATTTGGACGGATGACTATAAAAATCTAAGTTTTTTAACCAATATAAGACATATTATCATTAAGAATTTTAATTAAAAACATTTGTTTTGGCCACAAGGGCAATGGATGAAAAAAACGTCAAAATTAAAAGTGTAGTCAATTCAATTTTAGGAGAATATACAGAAGTAGAAAATTACTTAAATAAATGTATAGTTGTGAGTGATAACGAAGCAAATCTTATAAGTGCATTCAAATACTAAATAATATTATGCATTATATTTTTGACAATTGTTTAACTGAAATTCTGCTTAAAGTATCTCAAAAGATTTTACATATTGTAGTCGGATAAGCGAATAACTTGAATTTAAAATACAAATACTTTTTTTTATCTAGTAATTATTAGAATTATTATAAAGAAATATATTTACTATCTGTTCGGTGTTTGGAATGCACTTCAAAGTATCCAAAATCTTTCCTGAATATATTTTTTTAAGAATTCTCAAACAGAACTTTTAATCAAATTTTACATAAATTTTCAAATCTTAATTTTTTTATAAGTAAATCTTGTGATTTTTGTGCATATAAAAAAAATTCTTGTGGGGTGGTCTTGCACTGAGAATTGGTCGATAAAAATCTTGGAAACTATAGTTGATAACGGTTTGAAATACAGAAACGATGATAATAGTATTTATTTAAAGAAAAGTTATATCATTTCTTTATATGTAAAAAAATTAAACATAATTTAATATAACTAAATGTCCATTTTACATATCACGATCTACAATTAATTATTGCTTTAAATAGTAAATATCTAAATGTACATGTATATTAGCGCTAATGCCTTTATAAACATTCAACTTTAAATTAAAATAAAACATTATTATATATTACATGGTACCAGTGGCGTAGCTAAGAATTTTCCTTGGAGGGGGTCCATACATATAAAAGCCAGGGGGACTTCGCCCCCCTTCTATCTTTAACGGGCCTTCGGCCCTTTTGCCCCGGGTTTGGCCGGATCTTAAAAATGATATTTGTTTTTCTTATAATGTAAAAGTCCTAGAATTATTGATCAATCTTCGATAATATATAATAAATATATTTTTTAAATGCATCAATAATATGTTATTATAATTTAGTAGATTTCTCAATGACTTTGTAATATATTATCCTTCCACAAACATCAAAACCAGAAAAATATAAATATTCATGGTATTTATTTGATATAAAGTCACTTTTGTGTCTTTTGAACGTATAATCTAAAAAAAATATTGGGAGGGGTCCAAACCCGAAAACCTTCTCCGTAGCTATGCCATTGCATGGTACAACATGTAACACCTTCATAATTGTAATCATAATTTTTTTTTTTTAAACTCTGGTATTTGTTTATTTTAAATAGTAAAAAAATGGCCGTAACTGTTACTAACGCCCGTGATATTTAGTGATAAAGCTAAATATTACCACACCCACATATATTAAATATCAAGACTGATACAGCCATATATAAAAAATGTGTTTAATTCCATTTTTTTAAATAAATATAATTTTTATACACCTAAGAAAAACTATTAAAGGTAAAATTTTATTTTCTATTTATTATGTTTTCGAGATAAATACAAATGCTTTTAATTTGTTTATCTTTTCCCACGAGGTGAGTCCGACACGGGGTGGGGTGGTCAGTAAAATTCTTTGGAGGAGGGGGGGGGGTAAAATTTTGAATATTGAAAACCTTTCGTTTTTAAGGGTTACAATTTTGATATTTAACTATTAATTTGTGCGTAATGAAATATGAGATAAAAAAAAATTTCAATTAATATATTTGGTATAAATCTCAATTATTATGCTACATTATATTTTCTTATTTTTGCATAAATATTTCTTTTTTTTGCAATACCTTTAAATAATTTTATTAATATAATTAATATTTGATACGCAAATTAGGGATTTGCAGGACTTTATTTTTCAAGCCCGCTCCGGCACGAAATTTTTTTAAAAGAGTTTTGCCTGCCCAGCCCCAACCCGAAATTATTTTTAAAAAGTCTTACCGGCCCGACTCGAAACCGAAATATTTTTGCCGGCCCGACCGGAATTTATTTATATATAGAAATTAATTTTTTTTTTAAATTATCATACCCAAAATAAAATATAAATGTCATATGGCGTCTAGTTTATAGCTACAAATAAAATATATTTTTATTTTACATAAAAAATATTGGCGCCTTTTTTGTTATATAATACGATTCAAAATAAAATTTAGATATATTTTAAAATTTTTCCAAGGCCCGACTTGGCCCGATGTTTTTTAAAAAATATTAAGTCCGACCCAACCCGAACCCTATTTTTTTTTTAAAAATAGGTCCCGGGGGGGGGGTCTACTTTTGCAGATATCTAATGTAAATCATATTGTCTTATTTTTATTATGCAATTATTATATTTCGTTATTTTGCAATACATTTTATTTAAATATAATAAAAATTTTAAATATATTTTATTTTTATAATTCAAATCAATTTAACTATTTCTATATTTTATCAATTAATTTTTTGGCTCACTTTGAAATTTGAATTTTAACAATGAAATTCTAAATTAAGCATTAGGCACACCTTACATAAGTATAACAAAAATTATATCTGTATACAGATACATTTGTAAATTAAAAGTATCTTAACAACTTTTGCATTTTTAGAAGTTAGGAGTCAAAATTAAGTAGTAGAGAAGGGGGAGAGGCTAAGAGGGTTAAGAATTTTCTATACACCTGAGGGTCCTAACAAAGTTATATATTTATATATATCAAGATCTGAGGTAAGTATCGATTCTCATAATAAACACTAAACTCCTTTTTAAATAAATTTGAGCCTTTTCATTTGTTTCTTTTTTATTTTACTTGAAATTTAAATATCACATTTAGCCCTATAAAATCTTTCAGCTTCAATATATTGCTATATTATTCTTTTTTGTTGTTGAAATAATAGGATACTGCTGGCCAAGAGAGATACAGAACAATAACAACGGCTTATTACAGAGGTGCCATGGGCTTCATACTAATGTACGATATAACAAACGAAGAATCATTCAATAGCGTTCAAGATTGGTAATCTTGTTTTATTTTATAAATTAACCCCTTGGTACTCTAGGTGGTGTTTAATAGGAACCCAAGGGTATTAAAATTAATTGGTGCTTAACAGCGATCATTTATTATGATCTAACATCTTCGGTAGCTTTGTTCATTTATCTTAGAGGACATATCCAAAGTTTAATTAATTTAGACAGTTACCAAATTTATCATGATACTTTTAAAAGCTTCTATTGATAGTTAATAGGAATTTTTATAAGTACTCAAAATTTTGATCAAATTTGGCAGTTTCCCGTATTATCATGAGCCCTAATTAGACAAGTTTTAATAGATAAGGTTTTTATGATTTACATCATTTTTTTTATCCACCAGAAAACTAAAGAGTTAATAATTGATGGTTAAGTTTCTGCTTTCTCGGCCATAGTATTAAGATCATTAAAATCCTTTTCTATGAGTTACCCAATTTTTTTTGGTTATTCATTTTACCATAGTTCAGGTTCGGGTCGGATTCAGACATTGAAATGATTTCCCCTCGGACTCGGGTAGGTCTTTGCAGGAAAAATACATCGTTTCTAACATACAATTAAATATTTGGGTTCGGGGCGGGTTCCATGAAAAAATTACTTTGCAGACCTCTAGTTGTTCTAATCATCGAGAAAAGAATTTATAAAATACTCCAATTTTGAATAATCTTCATAATACATTAGTTATACTAAATCCCAGGGCTCGAAATACACTTCAAAAATAAATTTCAAATATTTTTATTTTTGATTTGGTTCAAGCAGGATTTTTGATCAAATTTTACCTAAAATTCTAATGCTCAAAGGCAAAGAAATATCTTCAAAAATTCTTTTTTTAAACTTTGTATTAAAAGTTTAAATGCAAATATTTAAATGAAGGTCAACCCAAATTAAAACATATTCCTGGGACAATGCTCAGGTTATCTTGGTTGGCAATAAATGCGACATGGAGGATGAAAGGATAGTCTCGACAGATCGCGGTAAACAGCTGGCCGATCATCTTGGTATGGAATTCTTCGAAACTTCCGCTAAAGAGAATATCAACGTGAAAGCGGTATACTTTTTATTTACTTTAGTAAAGCAACTCTTAAGTTATTTGTTGGATGGTTGCTTCAAAAATAGATTAGTGTTAACAAGTAAAGGTTAAAAATAGAGCATTAAAATATGACCATACCAAATCGTTATCGTGTTTGAACATTTTTTTAAAAAAAAATTAAAATGATAAATATATATAGATTGAAATTATACAGGGTAGTTTTAAATATATTATATTATGCACCTGATGCCATAAAAATATGTAAATTATTCAAAATTAATACAAATCAATAAGCAGACGATAAAAAAATAATTTTTAATATTCAAAATTTAAAAATGGCCAAATTTTTCGAAATGATATTTTGCAACTTTCGATTTTTAGCTCCCTATCTTTTAATTTTACGCGCTAGAACATCTGGTACTATTTTTTCTACATATAATATATAATACATGTTTGATCGATTATAGATATATAGAATTAAAATTTATAACAGACCTGTAATTTTTATTTTTTTATATATACCCAGGCCGGGCCTAAAAATTATTTTTAAAAATATCCGGGCCGGGCCATATGCCTGAAAATTATTTTTTAAGAAACCCGGGACCGGGCCCAAAAAATTTTTTGGAAATATCTGGACCGTGCAAATGGTACCTCTGCAGGTCTCTGCTTTATATTTATTTAAATGACAAGGAGCATCTATAAATTGTAATATTCCGTATTTGAAATAGGGAATCCACTGCAATCAAAAGCATTTCTCATATTTTATAATGAAACCTATTTTTTCATATCGTGTAAATTTTCTTGCTTTTTGTAAAATGTTTATAAATTACTTTTTGAACATTTTTATATAGAAATGTGAAGATGTCCCTCTTTAGTATGAATAAAAATATCCCCCAAAAATTAGATAGCATAAAAATTCTATTAATAAATCCCTAGGTTTAAAGCTTTGGTTGTATCCAACCTTTATTTTTTTTTAAATTGTATTTAAATCAAAAAAATCCGATTTTTAAACATATCCTCATTATTTTAATTATAACCAGTAAAATTTAATTTTCGATATTATATATAATTTTTAAGATTGTTAAGTAAATATAATTAATAAATATTGCAGTGGCATAATATTATATGTTTTTGGTGAAATCAAACAAGCGAGATAGGGAATCTATTTGGAGCAAAACCCATTTTAACTTTGTACTTAGCACTATTCCTAATTTGTAGAATATAATTTAATCTGTTAATATTATACAATTTATGGACTGTCATATTTTAAAGTAAATAATATTTCAAATTTCACTTCTTTAACAATAAGCTATGTATTGCCATTAAAAAAAATTTTACGTAAAATTTAAAAACAAATATATTATTTAGGTTTTTGAGAGATTAGTTGATATCATTTGCGATAAAATGTCTGAAAGTTTAGAATCAGATCCTAGCTCCGTGATAAATGCGTCATCTCGAATAGCCGGAACACGTTTAACAGATCAACCCAAACTATTGCAGCAATCATCCTCTTCTTCCTGCAATTGTTGAGTAAAGTAAAATGTGGGGTTTAATGATAAAAGCCAAAGTTATTTGTTTTATTGAATCAATGTGTATTTGTTAACTGGCAAACTTTCGATACGAATTTCATTCCATAATTATTTTTTTATGACATATATTTTAAATATAATTTTTATATATTTATCCAAGCATTAACTTTAATTTTTTAATTTTATTTATTAGGTTGACCAAACTTTTTTTGCATTTAATTTAAAAAAATTAAGATAAATTGTGACATTCCTTATATTTATGGATATTTTTAATTAATTTATTTATTTTATTCGTGCAATTCCATAAATTATTGTATTTATATTTCGATCGAATTAAATTATTCATTGCTTTCTATATATTATAATATAAATGATATTTAGGGAAATATATAAATTTGTTTTTATTTTATATCGTTTTTACTGTGCTATATTAATAATTTAAAATCAATAAAAATAATTTATTAAAAATTATTTAAGTTTAGTTTACATATTCAATTTCGCCATCGTCATTACTTATCTTATGTTATGTATTTCCCATGGCTTCTCATGCTGTGTAAAGAAATATTAAATTAGAATAAAAATTATCGATTAAATTTTTGAGCAGGCTGCCTTCATGTGAGCAGCGTATTGAAGGAAACCCTCGACCCTCTCTTTTTCAAATTAAACATTTTAGATTTACATAATGCTGAAACCATCATTAGACTAAGGATAGAAAGTGCTTCATAAATGTTTCCACTTTCCTTTCTTTTAAATCCAGACTCAGGCTCTTTTTTTCTTCCCCCCCCCCTGCTAATACTAATAATTTAAATAAATTAGTATCTAATTGTTAATATAACCTATTCTTGTAACTCTTTTTGCCTTCTAAATTTTTTATACTCAGTACTACTTTATAAGCAAGAGATTGTGTTGTATATATATCATATAATTTTTTCAAACTAAAATTGCTGCTTGAAATTACGAATTTGCAAAAATGCAATAAATGAATTTTGACGAAAAAAGAATTCGCGAATATTAGATAAGACTCACACTTCTGTGTATATTGTTTTCAAATTTTCGAAAGTTAAATGCACGAATATGCGAACTTTTAATTGCCTACAACTGCAAAGACATACCTTAAAATTTTAATATTTAAATCATTTTAGGCATTCATTCTTTTAAAACATATGTTAGCAATTTATGTTATTTTCTTGTTTACAAATTGTTACCTGATATTTGGAAAAGATGTATACTCATTCAACGTGACAGATATAGAAGGAAATAATGTGCCTTTAGAAAAATATAAAGGAAAAGTATTAAATAATTAACTCATTGAGATATAGATATCATCAGGTATCACTGATTGTTAATGTTGCAAGTAAATGTGGGTACACAGATAAACAATATAAAGGATTGGTATGGCTACAAAAAGAATTTGAAATATATAATCTCTTTAACGTTTTGGCTTTTCCCTGTAATCAATTTTGGGAACAGGTAATATTAAATTAACAATGAATATTACTAATAAACTAAATTAAGAAAAGTGTTTTAACATCATAAGTCTTTTATTGCATATTTAATATTAAAAAATGAATTTTATCATGATTAATATATACTTACAACCAGTTTTGGTAAATAGCTCATGAGAGTCAGCTTAGGGATATAATATATATTAGATATGGGGAAGGCCTGATCTAAGGGTATGCTCTAGAGGTATAATGTTAAATTTGTAGAAAGGATTATTTAACCTTGATTTCAGCAAAGGCACATAAAGTTGATGGATATGGTTTTATTTAAAAAAAAAAGTTGTATACAGGTTGCCTAAGATTATTTATTCAAGTGTATTATCTACCTACAAGAGTTGCTGGTAGTATATATATCTTAAATAACTTAAAAATTTATGTAAGGTATTAGTTTAAAAATTAAATGTATTTTTTTTATTATGCAAGGAACCAGAAACCAATGCTAATATATTTAAATATGTAAAAGCTACATATAAAGTTAATTTCCCGATGTTTGCAAAAATTGATGTCATTTCAAGAGGATGGGAAAAGGTGGATCCACTTTGGCTATACATAGGAGGTTAAATTATATATACTTGGTTAAAAATTTACTCATGGACCATTTATTTAATATCAAATTAAGCTAACCCATTAAGAATTTGACAATATTTATTAAATAAACTAAAGTTCATATAACCTTAGTCATCTAGTTTTTAGATATATCAGGACTCATAAAAGCATGATAATCTATAATGAGTGTTAGTATTCATTTGTTTAATGATAAACAACATAATTGTAAATGACAAACCCAGTATATATAATTTAACTAATAATTTTGAAAACAGGGAAATCATAAATTTTATAATATTTTTCACCTGAATTATGTAACCTTTATAATTTATTTTCAATAAGCTATTGAAGTTCTGCCATAGGCTTGCTGCCCATTTATTTTTCATTTATCTAAAAAATTTGTTAAACCCGTCCGCCATATTTTTTAAAATTATTTGATTGGTTAGTTTGACCCCTTATTTAATTTTATTTTACTTATAAAATATGCAAAGGTTTATATGGAATAAAAAAAATAATAATTTGTAATAAATAGAAAAGTCTGTTCTGCTCATTTCGCCCTTAAAAATATTTCAAATTTCACCCGCCCATAGTTTAAGATCTTTTAGCAGCCTGCATAATAGGCGTGGGCGGATGTATAAAATTTGCTTGCTTTTATAAAAATATAGTATTTAATAATCTCCAGGTGTTTTATAAGTAGAGAACAATTAATATCGTAAATATAGCTTCCCAAATAGGATAATTTATTAAACGGAATATTCTTTTTACTTTAAATTATTGTCCCAATCCATCTTTTAACTCACACAAAAAAGCCCACTATTAACTATGATCCGGAAAAGAGTTGTAAAATTATAGAAGAAACGGGAGCAAGAGGGTTTTTTTATGGTTCGGCCCGGAAAATAAATCTGAACAAGTTATCTGTTACCGGCATATAATTATTTTTTTTACGATGGAAAAGCCATAAATTAGACCTAATTCTAAGCTTTAAATTTGCGAACTTCCGGCATATCGCGTAAAGTCTTATGCACGAGTATATCCGGCCAACAAAAAATCTTTCCGGTTTTGAAATGAAGTATGTTTATTTTTTATAGTTCGTGAATATTACTTACAAGAAAAATTTAATTACACGTTATCTTACTTACTAGATTTAAAATTTACAATTATGTGATTTTCGAGCAATCATTAATTGAAATGATGAAGACACTCGTTAAAAAAAAGAGTGTTCATGGTTTTATTCCCCTGATATCTCCAAGCGCCATTTTTTTAAAAAAAAGATCTAATTACGTTAATACCTAGACCACTCAAATAGTGATTCATTTAGGGCCCTAATCAATGACATATAATAATAATACCTAGACTGATGAATACATTCATTAAAAGTGCACATCAATAAAAACAGCTGGGGACGCCATTTTGATTACTCATATCCTTATAAAAAAATTAAGCCAGAGACCAATTTATTCCTATGCCTAACGCAACCTTTATTAATGAAATGCCTGATCATCTAGATAATAAAGAAGCAAGTTATCAATTTAATAGTAGTTTTTTACATGATATAATTACTATATCTGTTACCGAAATGGCGGGTGCAGCTGATTTGTATTCAACGACGCTTTCAAGTACATTATTATGAATGCATCGTCAGTCTAGGTATTATTATACATTAACCCTAATGTTATTTCGATATTCAATAGTTTACCACTTTTATCAATTTTTGCAAAGCGTCTAATTTGAAACTATTCCCCCAAATGTCGAAGTATTTCACCCCCCCCCCTTCCCCCAATTTAAATTTTAAGAATAAGGTCTTATCCAGTCCATGAGAATTAGGCCTATTGAAAAATGCATTATTCGTTATTCGACTCTTGCTATTCGAGATTGGTAAATTCTATTATTCGTATTTTTTATGATTTGTTTAAGATCTAATATACAGATAATTCTTATTCTTTTTTTAAAAGGCCTAATAAGAATGTTTGTCAGGACTATAATTTAAGCCTTGTATAAATAAATAATAAATATATGTAGATTTATTTATCATAATAATAATACTATAAGAAGTCACCAATTCTCCTCCTACTTGGAATTTTTGGAAATACCTAGTGGATAAAAATGGCCAAATAGTTTCTCAATGGGGCCAAAACACGGACGTTAAAGAAATTTATCCCATCATAAAGTCATTGATAAACGAAATGAATTCTTCTGATGACACCAAGAAACGAACGAATTTGAAAACAGATTTATAAATTTAGTTGACGTGTTATTAAAAATCATATATGACGTTTTGTTTTTTAAAAAAAACATATGTTTTTCGATCATGAACATGAATGATCAAATTGTATTTTTTTTTATATAATAGTTGAAATGATTAAAAAATAAATATTATATTTATCAACATATCGAATTCTTATTTTTGGGGTGGCCAGTTGCCAGATCCATGCCTTCCTCCTCTTTCCCTATTAAAAATTCGTCTCAGTTGACCATGAACGTAACCAAAGAAGGGGATATTCCCCCGGAAAGCTCAACCAATTGTGTCCCTCCCCTCTAGCAAAATTTTGGATACGTGCGTCTATGCAGTTGACAAATACTTCTAATTATTTTTGATGAATTCCTAGATTGAGCTAATTTCTTGCTCATAACCTTTACTTGGTCCTTTCCTTTGCGTAAGTATACATCATTTGAAATTGCTTAAAAATTGATATAAATAACCCAATGTACCTTTGCGCGATGTTACCTTGGCCCACTACTTTGACAAATTATGAAACTAACAATACTAAATAGTTTTCGTATAATAATAAACTAACACATATGATAGAATAGGATCAGGCTTGCATTTCATGCTTTATTTATAGTAAATAAGATTAATAATAAAATTCTAGCTCAAAATTAAATATTAATTTTTAATATTATATAAAAACATATTTTTTTACTTAAAATTATATTGGGTTGCTATAGAAATAATTAACTATAGATATATCATAATTATATATATAAGATTTATTTTTTAAGATTTTAGACCTTTTTTGAATATCTTTATTATAAATTTATAATTGTCCGAACGTGCCCCGGTCCTCCTTTACAACCTTGGCTGTAAATATATTTTCATCTCGTGAAACATATTTTATTCTAAAAAAAATATTTAATAACTGACGCACATAAATCATTTTTACCCCAAATATATATGACTTCTAGATAGTTTTAAAAATGAGCTCTTTGAGACGAGACTAATTGGCCAAGGTTACCCTGCATTCACATAGAGCTAATTTCCGGCGAAGTATACAAAAATGAATATAAAATTTATTTCATATCTTTGCATCGCCGCCATTTCGAGCCAACTGGGAGTTTGACAGATCTATTATGTTGGGCATAATGTTTTAAAGGGGAAGGATTATTTCAAATATGCGATTGCAAATTGAATAAAACCTAAGGTTTTCTAGGTGAAGATTTTCACGGGGAAAATAGAATAAAACTGATATTGATACTGGATAGTTGAATGTTTTGACATCTTAATGAGTTTGGGAAATTTATCATTAAAATTTCGAAATACAAGATTGGATATTGGTAAGAAAAGCCTTGGGTTGGTTTGGTAATATGTAAAAATCATTTATACTAAATTAAAGCTATGGATATATAAATAAAAAATTAATTATATAGATTGAGTACAGATACTTTTAACTAAGGTTTGAAATATTGATTTGTAGTAAGAATAACATATTTAACTTAAAAAAGGTTAGTAAACTTTGCTTAATAAATTTCCAAAAATATTTTATTTATATTATATTTTTTTTACAAAAAAAAACTCCAATTTACAATGGTGCGAAAATAAAGTTATGTTTGGGCAAGTGAGAAATTTTTCATGAAAAACAATGAATTTGATAATCAAAATGATATAAATATATTTTGTGTGGAGATATTCTTATCTTTATAAAAAAAAATGAATATAAAATGTTCAAATAGATTATCCATTCACAAATATTCGATTCTTTGGGAGTAACCACGGATGCAGCAACTTGTAATGGTCGTATTTTAGATCATTTTTTACTCCACCTAAATATGGGTAAACAGATTTACTAGTGTTGTTAAACGGCTAGGTTTGAGGCGATTTTTAAAAACGGCTAACTCAATATTTTAGCCAGAAAAATATTGACGTTAATCTCGAGATTTTGCTAATAGATGTTCAAAACTTTGTTCCTTCTACAGACAAAATCTTCAGGCTTGGGTAATATTTTTTTTAAAAATAAAATATTGAGTTTACCGTTTAGGCTTACACAATATCGGGCTCAAGGCATTTGCTTTATGAGCATTTACCCGAAGCGTCAAGAGAATTTCCTAAATTTATAGGCCAAAAAAATCGGAAAATAAGGTTTATATTATACGCACGAAATAATTTATATTAAAAAATATAAACCCAACAATTAAGTGTTTGTTTAAAAAGCCCCGATTAAGATTATAACCAAAATAACGTCATGTAAAGAAGTCTAAAGATTTTGCTCATTGCTGGCAGAGCAGAAATGCTTGGACATCTATTTCCCAAATCTCGATGGTTACATAATAATAATTTAGCTAAAAATATTTATTATAAAAATTATACCCGTAATTTTACTGACAAGTATTCCGATCAGAGTGCATATCAAGAAGCCGAGAGGTGTCAACAGCATGAAGGATATCGAATATATTTTACTTTATTTATTATTATTATTTTTTGATATTACTTAATAATAATTAACAATAATTATAAGTAATTACACAAATTGATAAGGGAAGAGTGACAGAAAGTCATTTATTATTTTTTTAAACGAGTTTCCGCCAATCGCTTACTAATTTTATTAAAAAGAACAAGAAATTATATTTTAAAAAAAATTTTTAATTATTCGAAATGAAAGAATTTAAATTTACTGAAATAAAAATTATTATTAGTAAAGTTGGGCAATTGCTCTATTTTTATCTGTCTTAGCCTACTTATCCGAATAAAACCTAGATTTTAAATCTCAAGTGCATCTTTACAGACACTTCTTCGAAAATGGGGGTGGGTGGAGGAGAATACGCAAGATAGTAACTGAAATTTAAGGGAGAAGGTAGAGTTGTGTAAAGTTAACATCATTAAAATAAAGAGGGGGAAGGATGGGAGGAGAAAGGGTTCAATATAGATCGGAGACGATCGCTTGATTCTACCACTTAATATATAAAAAAAATATATATATTTATGTTGACTTGACAGTAGTTATCATTGATCCTAGATGTGTCTGGTAATCCTTGGGGATAATTAACTGAGTAGGAGGAAGTAAATTTGAATTTTTTATTAAATCATAAAGGTCTCATTCAGAGTTTTGAAATAAATCTTTAAAAATTTTTGATTCATCTTGGAAAGATTTTTTGCGTAAAAATTACAAAAAGATTTAGCCATTTTTAGGAAAAAATTTGATCAAAAATCTAAGAATTTGATCAAAAATTATTTTGTAAAAAATTTTTCAAACTGGTCGCATTATTTGAGGTTATGTCAAAAATCTTTTTTAAAAAAATTCTAAAAATTTCAAAACTTTCACAAATTTTAATGAAATAATTATGTTAATTTTTGAAATTTATAAAATTTTCTAGAATTATGTTTTGGAATGTTTTTATTTTCATGTTTAAAATAGCTTATTTATTTATTTTTATTAAAGTTTCCAAAGTTTGTGAATTTAATTTTTTGATATTTTGGACACAGCCTAAAGAGATATACTATTATTATATATCAATATATTAATCTAATTTATTACTATAAAAAAAATGCTCCACAAATAAGAGAATATATGTTTACATGTGATGTATAAATAGTTTTTATTATTGTAATAAATAACTTACAATAATATATATTTTCCTAGGCCATCACCTATGGGAGTTTTGTACCTCTCGCTAGTATCTAAATATATAGAAGTTTACATACATTACTCCTCATGTTTATACCCTTCATAATTATCCTTATCAATGAAAAATTCATGGTGAAAAATTCCAATTTGTGCAAAATATAGCATTTGTGGTCGATAAGATGTTAATATTTAATTTATAAATGACGTTATTCTCATCCTTATTCGTAAGAATACATATCTGATAATGATAATTAGCAAACTGCTCTCCACTTATGTAGAGCAATTGTAATAATGAAGTGAACCCGAATTTATAGCGTTAGCTGCTGAATAACTTGACTGGTTAGAAATCGCGCCATCTAAACTATCGGTTCCATTGAAACCCGTTTTGACACGATTGTAACGCATTCGAAATGGTCCATCTTCAAAAAATGCGCGGCAATAAGGTGCGTCGGATAGGTTGAATAGATGATTTGATTCATTTATAAGACTCAGATTGCTTAAACTATAGTTTAAACCATTGAACGATGGTGGAAATGTAGTTGTATTTATAGGTAAATATGGAGTAACTATGTGCTTAGCGTGCTTCGAAAAACCGAGAGTTATGAGAACGCACATTAGATCGGCCATAATTTTACCCGTTATAACCCCCTTGAATAAATTACTATATATATTTTAAAAAATTTTATACCTTGTAATTGGCGGATCTAACAAACATCCCAAGGAAGAATACAGCTAATGCTTGACCCCCGAACACACTCATAGCAAAAAGAGCAGCCTATTTTAATTTTAATTTTAAAAAATAAAAAATTTAATAATTTTTTCATAAGATTAAGATTCTTTTCGCCCCCCCCCCCCCCCATCCACCCTACTCTTCAGAAAAAGTAATAATGATTCCAAATAATTTAAATATTATCTATTTTGATTTTCCTGTAAACCCGCACCTTCCTTCGCCCAACTAATTATTTAGTATAAAACATACGTTAAGGATTCCTTCGACATTTTGCGCCAGAAACGATATTCCGATAACAACCAATCCGTAGGTCATCGCTATGAAAGGAATAATTATAATAGTTATTTTTTTTGCCTCAAAAAATTAATTAATTAGACTAAAATATGTTAGGTTATTTGGCCAGAATATTTGAAGGCAGAGGTTGAAATAAAAAAAAAAAATTTTCCGCAAAATTTTGAGCAAAATATTGTTGAAGGAAGATCACATAATTCATTATTTTTTAAGCATATTAAAAATTTATGATTTTATTCATGAAAATAATTATTTAAGCATAAAAATCACAAATGATTTTACTTTTAAAAAAAAGATTTAATATTTTAGATAATGTTATAAAAAACGTGTTTTTGCATTCCCAAAAAATGTTTATTTAAAGAAAATCTTCAGAGATCGAAATCTTTTGAGATTCATTTAAGATTTAAAGAAAATTTATTTCATTAATGCCCTGTACCCAGACCCATATAGGAGATCGGTAAAATGATAGTATTTTGCTCTGCCATGAAAAATTATAAATACAAAGAAAAGGAAAACAATAAATTTAAAAAAATTTAGCTCTCTACTCATAACACCTTAAGACTATAATCTGAAGTGATTGCTTGACTTTAGTTAAGGTATAAACTTTCATGAAAAATTCTTAAGGTTATTATTTATTAAAATAAAAATATTTTGCAAGCAAAAATTATTAGAAGGGTTGGTTTAAATTTATTGATACCGTAATTTATTACGATTTTGGACAGTTAGTAATATTTAGTGTTGTTACCAAAAAACGCGGGAATTAACGATGGTAGCCCTTTCTTTTTCATTATATCGGTAGCTAGTTTAGGGAAGATGGGAATCATAAAATCTTCCCACGTGACGGCAGCCAGAGAATTGAAACTCGAGGATAGAGTGCTTGTTAGGTTTTATCATAGGTTTATTAATTTTTATGTTTTTAAAAAATAATAATATATGACTATAAATTATAAATTCGGCTTAAAAAATCAAACTCTCTTTTAAAAAAATAAAAATTTATCCATTCTTACGTAATAAAGAACAATTATTAAATCATCAATATTAATTTTAAATTAAAGAGGAAATTTTAGTATCATATTAATAACATCTTTCTTTCTTCCTTCCTTCCTCCCTTCCATCAATATTTTCACTCCCTAATCTAAAAAAATAAGCAAAAAAAGATAAATCAGAAAACCTTACTATCTACCACCATTTTAACCCCTTCCACTCCCTATTTTTTCGATTAAAATCTAGCGTCCCCCATATCCAATTGGAAAAATCTTGCCCTAATTAATAGGATGGGATTCCATTAAGATGGTAAGCTCGAGATTAAGATATCGATTTCAATATAAACCATATTTTTCTAAAATAAAATAAACCTTAAAGCTCCACTGAATAAGCAAGCCAAGAATAAACCATTTAACCCTTTAATCTTCTCAAACGATTGCATAGCAAATACGGGTAGGAGCTAATTAATTATAATTTTAAAAAAAATCTGGTTTAAAAACGTTCAAATTTTAAGAAAATAAAATTCCCTACCTACCCTGACCCCAAGATATCAAATAGACTCACTCTGCTGCTATTCTCATACTAGTTAGTTTATAATATCTTAATTCCAGTCTTACCGTGGCTAGTGTTGTTTTATAAACGGCTCGTTTTGAGCCGATTTTCAAAAACGGCTAACTCAAACTTCATCCAGAAAAATATTACACAAACCTGAAGATTACAAAGTTCTAGACATTTATTATCAAAATCTTAAGGCATAGACAATATTTTCCTGGCTATAATGTTGAGTTATCCGTTTTTAAAAATCGGCTCAAAACGAGCCCTTTAACAACACTAATCGTGGCTATATTCAAAAGCATATTAATTAGTAATGAAGTATAAAAAAAAAAATATGTAATACAATTCATGCGTTAATATATATTTTTTTTAAAAATACCATATCCTTTTTAGTTATGATTTTGAGGGTTAGAGGGTCGCAATATTTGTAAGCGGCCAGCATGACCGAACCAAGGGTGCTCAGAATGAAGATGAGTACAAATTGCATGGGTAAAACTATCCAACTAGTCCTAAAACATTTACCCCACCACCACCACAAAAAAAATTATAAATAATAAAAGGTAATTTTCCTTATATAATAGTTATAAGAGATCTGCAAAAGTAAGGCCCAGCCCGTACCCGGCCCGACTACTATTTTTCAAAAAATTGGGTTCGAGACGGGTCTGGCCTAATATATTTAAATAAGTTCGGGCCGGGCCGGTACCGCAAAATTTTCTTAAAAAAAAATTGGGGTTTTGTCCGGGTTTGAAAAATTAGACCCGAAACAGATCACTGATAGTTATATTATGCGGGAAAAAAGGAGTGAACATTTTTCCAATCATCATGAAAGGAATGATGTGGCTACGAGAGTTGGATTAAAATCGAACACTAGGTAAGGAGAAAAAAATTTATATAAAAAATGTAAAAACTTCTTTGCCCGTGTATAGTTCGGCATGGAAACATATCTTTGGACGGATGGTTGGTATACGCCGTAGGAACGGAGTGTTAAGAAAAATATTCCGAAAAAAACGGTCCAAACCGTTTGGTACTTGGTGGGATTAGGATCGAAGCTTTTATTATGATAATAGTTTTATTAAATAAAATTTTTGAGAGGCAAAATATCTAAAATGGGCAATTTGATAAAAATCAATATTTATACCATTTTGACAGCTTATTTTATCAACAGTTTTTGAAGAAGTTGTACTAATAATCTCATTAATTTGGGCAATATTGAATATGTATCAATACGGATTAAAAAATTAGCTATTTTATTTATGGCTGTTTATAATGTATTTTAAAATCTAATCAAGGGGTTTAGTAGAATGTAGTTATGAATCAAGATAAAGGTATAATAATATATTTCATTTTTAGCTTTTAAATTTATATCCTCTAGGTGGCGGGAAGGATTCAAATTGATAGAATATTCATTTTAGATAAAATTGATAATTATAAAAATTTGTAACTTATTTTATATTTTTTATGATTACAATACACTGTAAAAGCATTAATTAAATTTTTTTTTAAAATAGTTTTCTTTGACGTTTAGTCAACTCAGTGAACCTAGAACTGAAAAGGTAGATCGCTAAAAACTCCTTTTTAAAATATTTTTTCTCAGTTAATATCATAACATAAGAATCGATTCTTAGAAAAAATAAAACAAATATTTTATATTCAATCCGTCAGTGGAACTCGCTTCTGAAAAACTAGAAATGGTAGATTGCTAAAGAATTACCTTTAAGAACTATTTTGTAAAAAATTATTATAGTTAATACTAAGTGTAAAATCAATTCCTATAGATAAAAAAATAGAATAATATAATCCGTCGGCTAACCGAACAAAATTTATCTGGTGTTCCGGAAGTGGAATTGAATATAAATATTTTTCTTTTTTTTCATGGAATCCATTCTCAACTTAGCAATTAACTTTTCAATTTTTTTAAATTATAATAATGATATTCTCCTAAATAGAAAATTTACGATTTATATTGCCGTTGAAAGGAAAGCAAAAAAAACAAACTTACATAGCCTTATTTTTGCTAGGTGATTTTGATAATTTAATGTATAATTGAGAATCGCAAAAACTTATTTGGGATCAATAAGATTATTTTGACGCAACGATTAAAGTCGCGATAATGTGAATGATATTTCTTAAAAATCATTTATTTGCGATTAAACGCAGCGTCACTATCGCCTCATTCTAATTGGAGAGACTGTTTTCAATTTCCGTTAAGTCTTAGGATTAAAAATAGTTTTACTCAAAGCTAGAGCCCAATCGGCCGAGTTCCCCAGCTACGCCATACACCTTCTTGAAACTTCCAATGTCGTAAATCCCCTATAAAACATCGAAAATAGAAAATGTTTAACATTTATTAATATAATAACGTGATTTTTTTAAAAAAACAAATATTATAAAGATTCATCTGCAAAAAAATATGTCGGTGTTAGATTATCATTGGTGAAAATTTATCGGTAATCATTTAGTCTATAATATAAGATATTGCATTTTCTTTTAAACCATAAAATGTGAAGATAGATGATGAAGGTATCACAAAACTAAGGGTTCGTGGAAGTTACTTTAATCGTGACATTCCCAAAATGTATATATTACTCTTTTAAAAGGGTAATAAATAATTATATTTATTATATTCCGGATCCGGTTCGGTTACGGTTCAGTGGCAAAAAAATTATAAAGGTTCAGGTTCGGTTACAGTTTTATTGTTCATAAAATTATAAATGGTTGCGGTTCTATCAAGGTTTTTAAAATAAAAATTATAGTGGTATTTTCATATTTATTTGTATTGAAAAAAATTTAAATAGAGGAAGACACAGAAAACATAATTGAAAGAAGAGAAGAAGAAGAGAAGAGAAGAGAAGAAGAAGAGAAGAAGAAGAGAAGAGAAGAGAAGAGAAGAAGAGAGAAGAGAAGAGAAGAGAAGAAGAAGAGAAGAGAAGAAGAAGAGAAGAGAAGAGAAGAGAAGAGAAGAGAAGAGAAGAGAAGAGAAGAGAAGAGAGAAGAGAAAATGCACAACTATTTGCTAGTTAATTAGTAATTTATCGAATATTATGGTCTAGCTATAATTTATATACAAAACGGGTTTAAACCGGTTCAAAGAAAATATAAATAATTCTCTTCTTTTAACGATTTGGTATAAAGGCTTGGTTACGGTTCAGAATATTATAAGAGTTTGTTGTATAGCGGTTTGGTTTTCCCTGTTTGTAACAACTTTCCACAAAACAAAAAATAGTATTGTTTTTATAATTAATAAATAACTAATTACAAATATTCAAATTATTATTAAATTTTAGTAAAAAATATTTTTCCTTTTACTTTGATCATGAGTCCAATGATAGTCCCAAAAATGACGAAAAATTGGAATAGGTCCGTTACTATCACAGTCTTAAAACCTCCCTTTTATTAAAAATATTAATATATATCTAGATTTTTTCGAATATGCTGGAATTCAGTGTTCTTCATAACAGAAAATTCTTTAGGAATTAAACCCTTCTCCAAAATTTATTCCTACCCCCTAAAAAAATATATATTGAGGCTCGGGCTCCTCTAGTAAATCGATTTTGTTAATCACAAAAAAGGAAGGTATTCTTAGGATATTATTTATTAATATTAGCCAAATTAATTGAGCCTCCACATAACCAGAAAATTATTTCAAGGTATTATTATTATTCTAATATAGGATACGAATAAGAAATAAACGGTTTGTTAGCAAAATATATAATCTCAAAAGTTAGTCCTAACCCACAAAAGAGTGCTTTTAATAAATGATATAAAATTTTATTCAACATCCGCGGTTAAAATAAATAATTTTATAAATGAGATACGCGTAAAACTTGTTCTAAGGTGAGGGGTGGGGTGGGTAGGGGGTTTATTCAGTGCTCAACAAGCGCCCATAATTGTAGCATACGATGAAATGATGAGGCCTATGGTTGATTTTACATTATTAGCGGAGGGACAATTATATAGGAAAACCTTCCATAAGAATCAAAATACTAAATTTACAGGGATTTTATATGACGTTAAAAAATAAATTTGTTCTAAATTTTCTTCATAGGTTTTAAAAGAGAGTCTAAAGCTACGCGAGTTTTGCTGTACATATATTTTGTATAATAAAAGTATATACAGTAACGTCTTAATTTGGGCTCTCTATAATTCGGTAAACTCCTTCAATTGATCATAACTCTGAGTTCCCAATTTAAATTACTATTAATTAATCTTACAAACTGTCTAAGTTGGACAAAATTCTTGGGCCCAAGGGTGACTAAGTTAGACTTTACGGTACAGTGTATGTATACAATATATTTAAAACCGAGCAGTTATATATTATATCTTTATAGTCACATACTATCTTTTTCAGAAGCATGATATTTACAAAACCGTGGGAAACTTAAGGAAATGAAAACTATATATCCCTCTGTTTCTTAAGAAAGGGGGAACACTTATGTGGCGGTAAAAAAAGGAAGAGGTTTTATTTATTTTTACGTACTATGGCCGTGTAAAAGGTGCAAATTCCTCCTATTATCAAGAGCAGCTTATGGATTGAAATCGGAACCACTATGTCGCATTGAATGAAAAAAATTATGATATATATATATATATATAAACATAAATCATTTTATAGTATATAATAATAGATGATTGGGGGACAAAAAATTGTATATTATTTTAAGCTTTAAATTTTTGAAACTAAAATTGAAAATTGAAGGTTATAAGGAAAAATAATATTATTCCTAGGTCTACTCTTTACCATTGATCAGCCGGTCTAGCTCTGCTTAACGCGCCCTAAATGGGCCTTAATAGCGTGATTTTTTTTCGAAAGCTAAGGCTGGTCCGGATTCAAAAATGCAAACTCGATCAAAATTATTTTTTGCTTTCTCACATCATTTTTTTATTTTAATGGGATCGGCTCCTAAAAAATAAACCACTGAAGGGTTTCTAATTTATTTTCCTTCCTTTTCTAATCTTTATATGACGCCTTTATTTTATTAATTTTTTTATCTTCCAGTTTGGTTTTATTCAAAATATACGGTCTTACCCCCCTCATTCACAGTTAACGGGCCGCGGCAAAGGAAGCAAAAATAGTATGCTTAGCGACGAATTTGCTAATGCGAATGAGGGGGTTATGGCTACTATCAAAATTTTTATTTACCTAAAAAACCCCTTACTTTTGAGTTAGCTTTAATCTACTTTTGATGAAACATGGACAGTTCCATCAAAAATAGTATATAGGATAAATATATTTTTTAAAATGGTATATAATATCTTTCTGTTCGAAAATAGATTCATACTTACTTAGAGAAATGGCAAGGCACGGCGCGAAGAGGACGACGGACGCGTATAAAAGCTTTTTATTTAAAAATTATAAAATGAATTGGGGAAAAAAAATATATATTATGATTCTTAAATAACCAGTGTGCACATCTGGATTAAATAGAAATTTCTATTCTAAAATATTTTTATAAATGCTTTGCTGGGTTCACCAATTATTAGAAAAATTATTTTTAAAAAATTAGATTTAATTTCTCAGGGGTTTGATTCGGTTCTTAGGCAGAGTTTGGAATGCTCTTCAATATTAACAAAAAAAATATTCAAAGATCATTGATCTCTGACGATTTTTTTTAGTTTGATCAAATTTTACCTAAAATTCCAAATCTTTTTTTCTCAAATAAATCTTTTATAAATAAATTCGGTTAAATTAATTCTTTATTTAGATATATATATAACTATTATAATGTATTATCAACAAGGATTTGGTTATTTTTTTCGGGGACCTGCAGGCCAGGCTCGGGATTTTTATAAATATACCCGGGTCGGGCCGAATATTTTAAAACCGAACATTTTAAATCGCCATTATTATCTTATAAAAATTAAAAATAAATAAAATATATTTTTAAAAAAATCTGGGTCGGGCCTGAAATTATGGTACCTTGGAAGGTTTCTGAATGCGTAAAAAATTTAAATCTTCTTTTATAAAAATATCTTCAATCTTCAAAAGATTTCTTTTGCCAAAAAATTTTGGACAAATAAAATCTTCAAAATAAAAATCTTTGGAGATATTTTTATAACTCTCTGTTTCTAGGGATGGTTTTTGACTGGTTTTAGAAAATGGTATATTTTCTAAAAATAAAAATTTTTGGTATTCATACTTTTTATCAAAAATATTGATAGTAAAAAATCACTTGAGTTAAAACGAAGGTCAGAGCGCAATAGGTTCTCAGACCGGTAGAATGGAATCTTTGTTGAATATACTTAATTTTTTTTTAAAAAATTTATATTGTTTTATTAAGAAAAATTTAAATTTCGCGGTAAATATATGGACAAGCATTTTCTTTCTCTTTCTCTTTCTTCTCTTTCTCTCTCTCTTTCTTTCTTTCTTTCTTTCTTTCTTTCCCCCCCCCCTTCTTCTTCTTCTTCTCTTTCTTTCTTTCTTTCTTTCTTTCTTTCTTTCTTTCTTTCTTCTCTTCTCTTTCTTTCTTTCCTTCCTTTCCTTCCTTCCTTCCTTCCTTTCTTTCTCTCTCATATATATGGGCTAATGGAGTTAACGCATCTCAGACCTGGTTGAATAATTAATACGGGCTAGTGTATATACATGACATATAGATTCCATTACTCGATGCCAAAATAGATTATTTATCACAGCTCGCTTAAGGACTATATAATGTATATATTACAATTATTAAAAAAATATAGAAAATTTATTTGTCATAATACGTTGAAGGAAGAAGCCGATCCGACATTGCAAAACACCGGGATAAATGTGTATGTAGCCACAATGACCCCGACCCATTGAGCCACTATGTATACCCAGTATTGAGCGCCCCTGGTATAAAATTCGGCTGGCATACCCAGAATCAAGATAGCGGATATTTGGGTGGCTAGCAAAGAACATGCTATGGGAAGCATTTTGAATTTCCTGCAAAAATTTTAAAAGTTAAATGACGGGAGGAGGGTGGAATTTATTTCTCGCTCCTGAAATCATAAAACATACATAATCTATAATAATCGTATTTTATATGTAATAATTGGTACTAATATATACAGGAATTCATAGGGATTTGGATGTTCCCAACATTAAATAATTATTTAAGGATAAATCGGATTTAGTCAGCGTGACATGTATTCTAACATTTGCAGAGTGATTCGCATTGTAAATTCCGACATTTTTAGCCGTGTACGCTTGTTTAGAAGCTTAATGTCAAATCCGAAGATATCCTATCCTACCCACCTTATCTCTCCAAGTTATATGTGTTCTTGTTATAAAACATACGCAGGTGAAAATCGCAAAATCAATGCGCGATTAAAAGAGTGCCAATATCATATAAACAAAAACAATGTTTAAGCCTGCCCTTGCGGAGCTATTTATTCTAATCATCATGCTAATTTCAACCTCCTACTTAAAAATTCTGGCTACTCCAATGTAGTCTTGTGAGTCGATTTTTTTAGAAATGGCAAACTCAATATTTTGGCTAGAAAAAAAATACCCTAAGCTAGATTTTGTTAATAAATGTCTCCATTATGCCAGTTATGCACAAAATCTTTAGACTTGTATAATATTTCTCTGGATACAATATTGAGTTCACCGTTTTTAAAAAATCGGCTTAAATCGAACCGTTTAGCATCACTACGCCACTGTATGTATAGTACACACAATTTTTGAAGAATATATTTGAAAAATGAAATTGTATAGACTTGGATTTAAACCCCACGACCATTGAATTGTATAAAGTGAATGCTAACAAAACTGAAAATCAAAACTATATTGATTTTTTTTAAATAAATAAATTATATAGAATATAAATTTTCATAATTGATAATAATGAAATAATATTAGATTAACTATTTCCCTTCATTAATCAATTTTCTGTTGAAACATCCTATCTCCTCTTCCTAGTTTAACGACTCCAACAATCAGTAGTGTAAAGTATTTTACCAACTTGCCTTTTTGATTATTCGTTCCGGTGGGATGGTCTTACAGCATTTTCGCCTACCTTATTTAATCATAATTAAATTAACTATGGCATTATATCAGGTGTTAGAGCATTAAGCTCGAGTAATGTTCAACCTTCCTTATCACCATATCTCCTCCTGACTATTCATGTGACTTCACTTATTTACCCTCCACCTTATAATTCTCATCAATACAATTATTAGATAATATTTTGTTTATGATGACAATTTCTAATTAGGATTATTTGATTTATTTTATATACACCGTTTTTTTTACCCTTTAGGTTATAATTACATAGGCAAATAATATAGAAAGGTCAGCAGCTGACCGTTCCTATTCAAATTTGGCAGAAATTGAATTCACAATTTCTTTTCAACACTGACCGTTCTCACATCGCAGCTAAACTATAATCAACTGTGATGTATAAATATAATCCGTCATACAATTTGTGACGGGTAAAGTCACTAAATCTTGTAACTATACTGGTGAGATGGGTAATAAGTTAAGTTCTTGGCAAGGTTATACTTGTTAGGGTCAGAAAAATATTTTGTAGCCGCATTTTCTTGCAGGTTAGTCATTAAAAGAGCGATAAGCCACAATGACTTTCTATTGATTTGCCTTCATAAAATCCTCAAGTGTAATGATGACATAAAATAATAGTAAATAGGATAATATAATGGCATTGATTTGATGCTAGGAGACATGATGCCTAAATACTTAGACGGCTCGCAAAAAATTCCATAGGGTCTTATATTACGCTCGAAGCTATATCACCAGAAGTTTTCATATGATTAACTGTGGTAACTCCCTGGTTTCGATTAAGTGAAACAAAGTGACTGAAAAACATGAAATCGTAGAAGAATTTAGATAAAAAAAATTTGGAATTTATTTAGACTGATGATAGTTAATCTTTTAACACATTCGTTAGATCGGGGGGGGGGGGGGCTCAGAAAGTCACAAGATTTTAATGAATCAAATATTTTAAATATATTTTATTATCAATATTTCAAGTTGAATTGAACATATGTTATAATTTTGCATACATCATCATTTATTAAATGTAAACATTAATGTTAAGCAAATAAGATTTCTTCCGCATTTTGCGTTTAATACATAAGCAAACTTTAGTTATTAATATTTATAATGAGTAACAAATAATTAATAAAAAATGATAGATTGTCCTTTTTTTTAAATATACGGTCATTTTACCTATGAAATATTTTTTTTTAAATTGTCAAGGTTACTGACACAACAAAGACGATATAATAGGACAATTTAAACGTATATCAATAATAAAATTTTTCAACAAACAATTTTTAAAATATATACTTATAAAGCAATATTTAATATCAAAATGATAAATAAACCACTAAAATATTAAAACAAAAATATATAAAATTACTAAATAAAAATAAATATATATATATTAAAAAGTATCGAAAGGCTCTAAAAAGAGCTTAATTTATTAATGAATATCAGAGTTGTTAAAGGATCTATACAAGTATCTAGATCATGTATCTAGATATATAAATGTGATATCTGTATCTAGATAGATTTTTGAAAATATCGGTATCTAGATATTATTTTAGACGATGTATCTGTATCTAGATCCAATTAAAAAGTATCTTTTAACAACTCTAATGAATATGTACCTAAAAAAACAAGTTATAATTGTGCTTAAAAATTTCTAGTATGTAATTTTTAATTTTAATCTTCAATTTTTGATATCCATTTACTAAGTTTCTTTTATATAAATGTTAGCGGCAAAAGTGTTATTTCCGGTAACGTGTCATTTTTCCAACTTTAAATCATTTTTTTGAGCGTTTACATTTTTTTTAAATTTAGAAATTTTATTTTACCGGAAATGTAATTCCAGCATATATGGAATACCTATTTTATGAATTGTTAGATAATTTTACCCTTTAACCTTTATAGTCATTTATAATTTATGTAAAAAATCTATGAAAAAATAACTAATAAAATGATATTTCAAAGTTTATGGCAAAATTATCTGAAATTCATAGTGTAGGTATTCCAAACGTGATGGAATGCAATTCCAGTGAAATAAGATTTTTAAAATTTAAAAAAACGCGCTCATAAAAACACATTGCCGCTAACATAAATAAATTACAACTTGTAGTGAGATATTCCATCATAATTAAAATTTTGATGAACCATCACCAGAGATCTTAGAAGGTAGAAAATTGTTTTTTATAGTCGGAGGAGACGAAGTCTAATCTAGTCGTTGAACTAGGCGATAGCGATACGCTAAAATGTGACATCTGACATGTATAAAACTAGTTATTTTATAAAATTAAAGGAATTCTGTTTTAAAACTCTTTAAAAAACAGTTGGGTCTTTATGTCAATGGCTTACAATTTTTTTATACCTGCACTGTGTGAGGTGAAAAATTGTATTAGACATAAATGGATGTTTGTTATTTGGAGGTAAATAGTCTCAAAATCAAAATAATTTTTGAACTTGATTGATTTATAGTAGTTGGTAGGGTACTTTAAATGTAACAAATATCATAATTAAGATAATAATAAAAAATTTGTATCATTCTCAAACCATAGATGGATGGGGTAGGTTAAGATTTATACTTAAGAAAGTGTATACATGAACGTCATAAATATTAGATAAAGTATATTAGAATGGGAACATGGATAATTGAATTCATACAATGGAAAAATTCCAATTTATTAAAACTTCGATTTATATTCTTATTCAGAAAATGTTTACAACTTATACACATTACCAATTTATAAATAACGTAAAGTACGAACCTGGTCAAACTCGGCAGGCATAAAAATGATAGGACGAAATGCGCTAATTTCCTTTGTTCCCTAACGATAATTTATTTTTGTGCTTTTGAAAAAGGATAACTTATTACTCGAAGAAAAACACGCCAGTGTAGATTTTGCCAGTGGCGGGTGGGGGGGGGGGGTTATTATTAGGTGTTAATTTTTCTAAAAATGAAAATGAATAATAGTCGTTTATTTTTAAAAAGTAATTGATTTTTACTAAATTTATTTTTTTCAAATTCTTCCTTATAAGTGATATATTGTAAATACATTTTATGGAGAGATGGGTGGGAGGTGCATAGGAGGGGAATTTTTTTTTAATAGCTAAAAATGATATTTGAGAGGAAAAGCAAATTTGTGACCTGAAACACTTGCTATTTGATAAAGCCAAAAAAAGCTAAAATACTACACTATCAATCATGCACCAAAAATTATTACGAAATACATTGTGATTTACGATTTTTACGTATTAAGACAATTCCTTTAATTTTTCTTCTTTTTTTTGAATAATAATATTTTCATGTCACAAAAAAAATTATATATAATTCTGGCTAAAGGGTTATATATATATATATATAATCATTTTCGAAAAAAAGGAAATATACATTCATAATTTTTAGAAGAAAAAAAAACGGTAATTCAAAAATTCAAAAATATCGTTTAGAATATATTAAAAAATTTATTTAAAAAAATATTAATATATATAATATTAATGGGTTCGATTGTACGTCATCGAAGTTTACAATTATCATTTAAATAACATATTACGTCTCCCCAGTTTTCTTAGAAATGTTACCGATATTCGACTTTCTTTTTTAAGCGCCCTATTTGTTAATATTTTGTCGATGACGAGTGGGATATAGGCTCATTTATCCCCCTACTATCTAGCCTCTCACATTTTTTTTTCATTGATTTTGGATGGGAAAATGTTTATAGGATTAATGTTGTTAAATATCAGGGTAAAACCAAGAAGAAAAAATGTGGTTAAGCTTGGCTCGAATAATAAAAGTCGCGCGACTCAAAGTTGAATGATTTATGTTTAAATCAGGTAAGGGGCTCGAATAACGCTAAAATTAAGGACAACTAGTAGTAGGTTACATTTAAAATAATATTTTTAAAAAAAATATTATATCTATTTATATAATGTAACTAATGAAATTATTCCTAATTTTTTAAAAAAAGAGAATAATTAACGCAAAATGAAACAGAACATTTCATCAATAATTAATTTTTTATTTATCCCCCCCCCCCCGATTATCTATAATAGATAACAGACTAGATTCCTAATTGGAAAATTAAAAATTTTCGTAGTAGGAAATAGGACATTTCATCAATAATTAATTATTAATTTTAATTTTTTATTTATCCCCCCCTCCCCTCTATTACTAAAGTATTCCTATTTTGAAAAAGAAAAATTTTTTTCACAGAATTAAGGAAAACATTTCATCAATAATTAATTAATATTTTTTTTTTTAAATCCTCCAATTTTGATAGTATAAGCTTTATAGTTACGAGATGTCTAAAAAAAAATATTGTGCTATTTTTTACAATCTAAACATCTAGAATAAAAGACAACAATATTATTTGAGAAAAGTCACTATGATTTGGAAAAAAAATAAAGCATGATGTTATGTGACTAAAAAAGGCAAAATCGGAAATTTAACGATATCAATCGCTTTGTCAATATTCTTAAGAAATACTAATGATTGGACCTACCAGATTCCAATATTATAAAGGTCATCCCCAATTTTTTTAAGGATCCATATTTGGAGGTCTTCAGGTTCAGTTTTCCTAAACATTTAAAAGACATTTTGGTCTGGTTCTTATATATCATATGGTTTCCAGGATTCCAAGTTTCGGGTCCAAACTCTCATTAGTTTGGATTAGTGATCTAAAATGAGCTGAATTTTTCAATCCCGGCCCGGCCCGAAATTTTTTTAATAAGTTTTACCGGCCCGATCCGATCTCGAAATACTTTTAATATTTTTAAAAAAGTTTTGCCAACCCATCCTAATTTATTTAAATATAGAAATTAATTTTTTCTAAAATATTTTAATTTAAATATTTTAAAAATTATTATGTCATATGGCGTTTAAGTTTCTATAAATAAAATTAAATATCTTTGTTTTACATAAAAATCATAAATTTAAAAAAAATTTCTAAGGCCCGACCCGAACCGGCAGAAATTTTTTTTTAAAAATAATAAGCCCAACCCTCAAATCCGATATTTTTTAAAATATAGGCCTGGTTGCAGATCATTTCTAGTTTGGATATCTGTTCCTGATATTTAAAAGTTGTTTTGATTTCCGATTCAAAAAAATTGAAACGGTTCCGAGAGTTTTAGATTCAGGTGTCGATTACAAACCCTGATTAGTTTGGTTTCAGATTTCCTACAAATTCTGATTGGTTCGGTTTCAGATTTCCTAAAAAAACATTCAAAGGATGCTTTGGTTTCCGGTTTTAAAAAAAATTAGCGCTGTTCCGAGGGTTCCACTTCTAATCGATTAATAAGCTATGGGGAAAAATAATAATTATAAAACACTTAAATAAACCCTCGAAAATGAATTGTGCAACATTTTGGACAATAATATAGATTTGTTTAAACTTCTGTTATAATAACCAGTTTCCGGTTTCCGTAAATTTTATGAGAAGTTCGAGTTTCTGGCTGATTCAAACTTTGCCTCTTTTTAGTGATACGATTTTTCAAAAAGCATGCCTTCAGACAGTCATATAAAATTTATAACGATGGAATGGAGGGTAGGTCCACCCACAATCCCTCCCTTCCTTCCCCTTAAGCAAGGTTTTGGATACAGGTGTGCTTAATACAATTTAGTAATGGTACAGCAGTCTATTAATTAGTTCGCGTTGTTAAATATCAAAATTCAGTGTTAAACGGCTCGATTTGAGCCGATTTTTAAAAACGGCTAACTCAATATTTTAGCCAGAAAAAATACCTAAGCCTCGAGATTTCGATAAAATATGTCAAGACCATTGGTCCTTCTAAGAACAAAATCTCTCAGGATTGAGTAATATTTTTCTAGATGAAATATTGAGTTAGCCATTTTCAAAAAATAGACTCAAAACGAGCCGTTTAAAAACACACTAAAAAATATTTATTAAAATGTATCGAACCTATTCCCAACAAAAGCATTATCCGACTTCGAGGAATGACGATCTTTCCAGGCGTAGTATATTCCAATGGTGCACGTTATGATTAGAAAGAATATTATAATTATATAATCTACGTTTGAGAGACTACTAAAAGTCATTTTTTTTCTTTAAAAAAAAAATCAAATTAATTCTAAGTTAAATGAATGAAATTTTTTTTTTGTACAAAATATTATTATTATTTGATGTAATAAATAATATTCGTTTTTAACGTTTTTTTCCACGGTAAGTTAATATATGTTAATTTTTCAAACCTTTTAATTCATTTATTTAACACAAATTTTTATAACAAATAAAAAATTATATATAACCCTACCCTATAAAAAATAAATATTAATTTCGGCATTGATTTTTTATATATTTAAAAAAGGAATCGGGGTATAAGGCAAAAATGATTTAAGTTTATATAGTATATAATAGTATATAGATATCAGAGATTTTGCATGGCTCGGCCTATTAAAAAAAAATCAAGTCGGGTTGGGTAAAATATTTATGGGTAGGACGGAAAATCCTTTTTGGTTCAGGGCGGGGCATGCTGATCTCTTAAGGAATACTATTCCGGTAAAAAATGTAACAGTTTCAGTTTCGATATGAGTAGTCAATATTCATTAATTTGATTTTAGCTATCGTGGCATGCTGATTGAGTGAGTGAGTGAATTAATAATGAAATAAGAACTTATTACAAAAAGAACGTGGTTTCTATTAGTTTCAACCATTTACTCTTTATGACGATAAATAAAAGATTTGAAAGATTTTATGGATTAAAATGTCAGTTAATCAAAAATATAAGTTCCTTCAGAATCGTGTGAGAGTCGCAATTGCTGAATTGATATACAACTTAATGCAATTCAATATTTTCTAACTATCATAAATTTGTTTATAAACTGGAATTTGAAAGAACTCAATTTAACGAACAGAAAAAAACTCTGATGATTCCGTATTGAGTTTCGATGAAATCTTTTTAAAATTACCTCTATAAGTTAGTACTAGACCTCGTTTATAGTGAGCGCGTATCGCTCAAACGACGCGACACGCATCGCTTGATATTTTTGAAAAGCAAAAAAAATGATAGGTAAAATTTTATAATGTTGAAAAAAAAGGATCAACTCCTTTTAATTTTGACGAACTTTAAACATGGAGGCGTTTCTTTTTTTTAACGAACGCGTTCGTTTTCGTTCGTTCAATTTTAGAAAATCATATTTTTATTCATTTAAATAAAAATTTTAATTTAATATAAATCCAAATTTTTTAATTTAATCAGCTGTTTCCTCTATCATATTTGATTTTTTAACCAGCCAGATATTTTTGTCCTATAGTGTTTATTAATTTGAATATTATTTGAAGATTAGTGGTAAACATAGATGTTGTTATTTCATTATCATCATCTAATTCTGAATTTTAACATTACCATGGATTGAATAGAATAAATACTTTACAGTAACATCATATCCTCAATAAACTAATTCTATCCTTCCCAAGCGTAAAATGCTTCCAAAAAGGCATCGTATCAGTTTCAAAATCTTTAATATATAATATAACTATAAAGTCCTGTTAATAATTGTTGATTAGTCATTTGAATATTTATTTATTTTTAAAATATATTAAAGTTATATCATTTGAATATCTTATATTATTTAAATTGATTGTTTAATATATTCAATTAACTTTGTTTTGATATTTTTTGTATAAATAGATTGTGATAGAAAAAAGAAGTTAGTGAATAAAATTTAAATTTATATTATTAAAACCAAATTAGTTTAATCTTATTTCAATAATTCATTTTAGATTGTGTATTTTATTGCTTATTAAGTTATGATGATTATTATTATAATAGAAAAATAAGGTAAAAAATTATTAAATATTATATATATAGTTAATATCTTTTAATGTGAATTTTTTTGAAATTTCGCTATTTTTAGTGTGATTATTTGAAATTTCGCTATTATTTTTAATTTTTTATCAGTTTAATAATTAGGTATATTTAGACCTGTGCGCAGGCCGGAATTTTTTGATTACGCCAAAAACGCCGCCGTTTAAGAAAATCACGCCAACGCGCCGCCAATTTTCATATAGGCAGCGCACGGCCGGCGCAAAAATTACTTTCATATTTTATACCTTTTTATTCTAATAATTGGTCAACATCACTATTGTATTTTTTTTTTAATGTCATTCAGGATTTTGATGAATTTTTATTTTCTACTATTTTAAAATCACAATTATATTGACGTCATTATAGATTCAATCAATCAAAAATCTAAAAATATAAAAGTTACCATAATTTCGCATATTTTTAAAATGGATGCGTCTACATTTAATAATTCTATAAATAATTTTAATATCCTAACTCTGGAAAATAAAAAATCCATAGTCAGGAAAATTTTTGGATACTTACACTTAAAAAGAGACAATAAAACAATTTCCATAAATTCTGACAAATTTTACTGCAATTATTGCTTAGCAAAGGCTAATGGAGACGATAATGATTCAAATAAGTCATTTTCAAAGTATATATCTTTTTAAATATTATTTTCTCATATATAGTCAAAATCTTTACTAAATTAAAATATATTTTTTGTAAAATATAATCTAGCTATAAAATTTAAAACTTTTCAATAAACATTAGCACAGGAAATTTGTTAAAACACTTGACTTCTGAACATAATATTAAAGCAAATACTTCAAAAAAATATTTTATATCCAAACCAAAATTCCAGACAAATTCTAAAACCTCTAAAAATTGGCTTCTAGCAAGAAATTATGTTTTATTATGTTGTGCTGATTTATTACCTTTTCAATAAATTGATAATATAGGAATGAAAGGTTTTTTGAAGGTATTATAGGTTAGATGACTTAGAACAAGAATGCCACAGTTTTCTTGGAAAACGATATACACAAAATGTGGACGTTCTAAAAATTTGGAGAGAATAGAAGAGTGAACTTCCCAATCTTTCCAAGCTCGCCAAAAAAATTCTTTGCATTCCGGCGACCAGCACACCTTGTGAAAGAGTTTTCTCTACCGCTGGATTGACGTTAAATTCAAGGAGATCATCATTATGTCCCGAAAATTTAAATAAAATAATTTTTATACAAGATAAATAAAATTACGAAATCGATTTTGGATTTATAATGAGTTTTCTATTAAATAAATATCAAAAATTATGCCGAGATATCTGTAGAGTAGTGTTATTTATGTTTTTTTTTAAAAATTATTAAGCAATTAAAAAATATTATGTTATAAAAATTTATAACTGTGCCGATTTGCGCCGATTTACGCCTAGATTTTTGAAAATTGCCCCGTAGGTATCTTGTTTATTTTTCATTTGGATACGTATTGCCACATTTATTTATGAATATATAATTTTTGAAAAGGGTCTGTGGACTAGTCGGTAGGAGGGTTTGCTTGCCAATCCGATGGTTCTGGGTTCGAATTATTCCAGCAAAGGATCATGTTTTTTTCTTAATCCAACTTGGCGGTTTCCGACCTTGGGGAGAGGATATTATATAGGAGAACGGACTTTGCCGCCTATATTTTTTAAAAATAATTATAAATAACGACGCAGATATGGCAAAATATGTAATCCACAAGTAAAAGAATTCAAATGTATTGTGGTTAAACCCGGTTTTAACGTTCACAACAATATAACTTTTTTTAGTCTTTTTTTTATTCCCTATAAAAATTATTATATCAGTGCGGTTACGGTTCAGATATTTATGAAGGTTTAAAATGGTTTAACAGTTCGTTTCAGTTCACTCCACTAGGTTTCATATTTTAGTAGTTGTACACTATTTAAAGTATTATGAATTTATATCTTTTATAAATAATTAAATTTTATAATGATATATGAAAGTTTTTATGTATTTAAAATTAATAGTACAAATATATTGTGTTAAAAAAAATATACGGTGTTTGTTTATATAAAATTAATTTTTTTAAAAAAAAAAAATTATTCGTAAAGAATGCCTTTTTCTTTTTTGAAGGTGAACTTGAACGTGAACGCGTTGGGTTTGGGTCACTGAACGTTGAACGCCCACGCGTTCGATTTTTTATACAGCACTAAAAAGTTATAATCTGATAGAGATGTAATTCATTTCAAATTGCACAGTCATTATATATTTTACCTATTAATTGCTTGCTTTTGAAAAAACCCTTAACGACATTTCGCCTCGTTTATGATAAAATTACTATAATAAAAGTAAAATATTTTGAAATAATATAAGAGAAGGAATTTACAATGATAATAATTTGATATATAATAATAAACGCATCCCGTTTGCGCTCTCACTCTGTTTTTGCGCAGAGAACAAGATAGCATATATAATAGGGTATAATATACGAGATGGCAATTAGTTTATTGGAGTACTAATTGATAAAATAAATAATAAATATATAGTCGGGTAGTGAATTTATCAAAATTGTATTTTATTAATATAGCAAGCAATATATATTTGTATATTTTAATTTTGCGTATAAATTAAGTATCACTAGGTTTTTAAATTATTTATGAGGGCTGCTCTTCTTTGTATTATTTCAATTTTTATAAGTTGGTAGTATTTGTTGCATATTTATTTTGGTATAATTATTTAAGGTATTATATTTTAAAAATATATTAGTTTTTTTTTGAGACGGCTATAATTTGGGATTGCGTTATTTATTAAATATCGGAATAGGAATTATTTATCGATTAGATAATATACCTATTAATTTTTTTTTTATATTAGGTATTTATTAGATGAATAATATTTTGATAATAAAATTATTTTATATAACATATATTAGATGGGTATAATAATATATTCTTTTTTTTCTATATTGTTAGACATTGGGTAAAATAGAATAGGTTTTTTAAGAATATGTATAGTATAGCATGGTGATAACTAAATTGTATATATTTGTGAACTCATTAGTGGTGAAATAGACAGTAGGCTGTTCTGGTGATACTAGATTCAAGGAGTAGCGAGTAAACAGATATTCAGTCAATTGGTTTTTATCATGTAGATTAATATAAAAATATCCTGATAAGATATTCATAGGGTTATTTAATAATTGGTTTTGCTTTTCTATAAATTGTATTAATGTATATATAGATTTAGTAGGGCTACTATATATTACGCAAATTTGTAATACTGAAAAAATCAC